AAAATTGTCAAAGATATACACAGATGTATCAAATGAGTGTTGGAAATGTGAAGCACAAGTGGGAAATTTTTATCATATGTGATGGTCATGTAGAATAGCGAAACAATACTGGAAAAGAGTACATGCTATGTTACAACAAATATTGCTTTGTGAGGTACCATTAACTCCAGAACTGCTTTTACTGAGTATGATACCTGACAACATAGATAAGTCAAAAGATTATATAGTTATATATATTGTTACTGCAGCCAGAATTTTATATGCTAAAAATTGGAAAAGCCCGACGGTACCGAAACAAGAAGGATCTTATTGAAAAGATACGGGAAATAGCGGAAATGGACATTTTATCAGAAGTGATGAAGGACTGTCCTATACAGAAGGCAACAGAAAGATGGGATTTATTCAACAAGTGGACTGAATTAACAGGCAGCGTATGAATACCATATATTGAAATAAGAACTTAAACCTAGAAGGCAGAAAAGAGTAAATAGAATAATCTGACATTTTGATATGGCAATAGGTATAGAATGGATGTCAGTATGTTATTGCTTCTCTTCTCCCCAATTAATTCCAATTCCCCTTTTCCTTTCTGTCACCCCTTTTGTTAAAAAAATAAATTTTTTTGGAAAAAAAGAAACAAACCGAAGACAAGACATCACTTGTCAATTTACCATATCATGAAGTGGCTTGAGAAGAAAGTCGATTCAGAATATTGGAATTAAACACTTCCTTGTCTCCATCAAGCAGTCATAAAAGTTAAAAGATGATTAAGTGTATGAAGTGATGCAGCACATCTGTGTTGCTCTAATATACTTTAAAAATGTTTTTAACTCCCCACCACCACTCCATGGAGCCAAGGAAGTGATTAATTTCCTCAAATCCTGAAGTTCCTCTCTCATTAAGTCAATTCACATTACTGGCAAATTGACAGTGGGCTGGTGCTGACCAAAAAGGGTCACTTGAGGTTCACATGCCACTTGGATGTGAGGACAACACCAAATGGCATACCGGACATCCTAGTGATCCTATCTGGTCCACACCAACCCGCTCCAACCAAGCCATGTAGCTGAGACCTGATTCACTGCATTTGGTAATCCACAGCTTGTCCTCCTCCTCCTTTGCCATTTCCTCAGATGCGTTATGTGCCTAAATTATATAAAACACTTCATTCCTAAAATTCAAGTTTCAGTTTGCAAAATCCACCATCTGGATTTAGACTAATATGCTCTGTTGTTGTTATTATTATTATGGCAGGATCATCAGAACCAAAGTGCAGCAGCCTTTCCACCCAACACCAGATGGAAGTGGGACAGGAGTGAGTGCACCTGGACATACTATAGGTAAGAAAATGCTAGAGAGTTGCCGGGGGGGAGGGGGAAGGGAAGAGGCAGAAAGGGAGTGATTTCACACAGAGGTTCAGTGTATATTGCAATAAAGTGGCAGCTAACTGAGATGAAACCACTATCTTGTATGTTCCTTCAAAGCCAACAAATCACCAGGTTTAAATTTTTGCTAGATCTTGTGCACAGAAGACACCTACCTGCATTTCTGTTTGTGATTTTTCTTCCAATATGTTTTTCATAAATTCAGTTGCTTGGAACATTGCTTGGAACATTTCAGTGTAGCAAATATTCTGTAAGAAGGGATAAGAAATTATGCCTCTCTCAGGTACTTCATGTGACTCCTAACACGGTTCTCCAAATCATTCCTGCTAATTGCCCATGGTCTCAGGAGGAGGAGAACGAGTAATATTATACCTTTCTGCCTAGATGTAAAAAAATATCCTTCTGAGATATGTTCCACCACCAACCACCTTCATGTTCATAAATAGGTGCTAGTCTGCAATTAGGTTTTTACTCAGAAACAGATTGCAGTCTCAGGTCCTGGATGGAGAAGCCTTCTGGACCATGGTGACAAAGCATGGGGATCATGCTGTTCTTTTCCAGAGTTAGTTTGTCAGAATTTCTCGGAATTGCACACTGATATGCAACTGTTACTCATATCCATCATATGTGCTGCTAAAAACATACCGGTGTCTCTTATTTCTGCATATGCTTCGTTTGCTTCACACAAACAGTACCATGAACTCCAATGAAATTTTGAGACATATTCATTGAATAAAAATAAGAGGGAGGAAATCCCATCAGATAACAAACCCATTGTGAAACGCCTTAGTTCATACCTTTCTTGGTTCACAAAAGAAAGTTCCTGTGACAAGCAGGATTGCTTCTTAAAGAAAGAGTAGTAGTCCTTCTACCCTCATGTTCCATAAATCTGGAATGTTTGTGTAAAGAAAGAGAGGACCAGGGCATAGATGCCTTTTCATGTGTCATTGGGAAGGAGACAGGGAACATCTTTCTACCTAAAAGGAACTTGGGACAGCTCAGAACTTATACAAGGATAATTCCAGATAAGATATATATCTATATCTATATCTTCTTAACATTTAGTAACTTTTTCTATAATTATTCTTTTGCTACGTTTGGTAAATCTTTAGTAAACTTCAAGAATGTATCTTTTTTTAAAAAAAATGACAACCAAATTTGGTGCTCCAGTACTTTGTTTAAAGCTTTAGACAGAAATATGTCATGTAGTTCTGCTCCAATAAGTTTCTTGTTAAGAATGTCGTATGGAATGTTTTCTGGCATCATCAAGAACTTGGAAAGTTACTTTTTTAAAAAGAATAATTGTCACTGAATAACATTATTTTAAAAGTAACATGTTCACATTGGTTTTTAATTTTTCATGTTACTTTATCGTTCCTTTATAAACACATCTTTAATAAAGGGGAAACCCTTAAAATTCTCCCCCAAGAAAAATCCCTTATAATTACCTACCCCATAACAGATAAAATACAGTGAATAAAGGTTACTCATTACATGAAGGAGAGTATGTTGCAATCATTGGCTGAAATCCTGTTGATCAGTATAAGCTGAATTATTTATAATCAGTTCCTCCCTCAGAAACAAGCTGCCCACACTGTTCTTAAGAGTGCACTCACACCATGGGTGGGTGTGCGCATTCATTTATAATCAGTTCCTCCCTCAGAAACAAACTGCCCACACTGTTCTTAAGAGGGCACATTACCTCTCTCCTGGGAATAGCAGCAGGGATGGCTTGTTTACCAGGGAGGAATGAACCAAAAGTTCCAATTTGACTTGCACGAAGCAACAGGACATTGGCCATTATGTTATTTTGCAAAAGGAACATTGTATTGATGTCATTATTACCCTGAAAATAACCATGTTGTAGGTAATGTCATCATTACTTGTAATGCATTACTTCCACTCTGGCATCACCATTGACAAAATTACATGACGTGCAGAAAGAATCACTTGGGAATATTCTGTAAGAGTAGTTCGGAAGAGGGTGTATGTGACTGATGAAGGAGATACAGACATACTTGATTAAGATATGGGATCCTAGAGGAGATTGGACTACTCCTATTACTTTTTACATTTTTATCACATACTTTTCACATCAGCCAACCATACTTGATTAAGATATGGGATCCTAGAGGAGATTGGATGTAATTACTTTTTACATTTTTATCACATACGTTTCACATCAGCAAATATAATATGAGTCATCTTGCTTAACTTGACTTTAGAAGTGGGCATATTTCATTCTGGAACTGCACATTTCCACCACCACTATGTTTGGAACTTCCCATAGTGTATCAGGTTGCCCATTTGAAAATAAGATATGGGATCCTAGAGGAGATTGGATGTAATTACTTTTTACATTTTTATCACATACGTTTCACATCAGCAAATATAATATGAGTCATCTTGCTTAACTTGACTTTAGAAGTGGGCATATTTCATTCTGGAACTGCACATTTCCACCACCACTATGTTTGGAACTTCCCATAGTGTATCAGGTTGCCCATTTGAAAAGCCCCGTAACCTGCAATGATCAGTGTGTTATACCTGAATGAAATACATCAGTAGAAAGAGCAAATAAAGCTGGTTAAATCCATGGTATCTTAATTCTAGAATGCTGTTCAACAAATCCTCTAGCTTTCTGACTTTCAGCACTTACTGTATATCTGCTAACTAGTACTTAGTTGGTAGTTAGAAATATTTGCCTTTTGTCTACCAGGAAGAACTAAAGGCAAATAGGATGGCGAGTGATCAGTTCAAAGCAATGTTTATCATATTTGCCGGCGTACAAGACGACTTTTTTGGCCCCAAAAACATGCCTCCAAGTGGGGGGGGTCATCTTGTACGCCGGGTGCACTTAATTTGGGCTAGGAAGGAGGTGCCGCTGCTGATGCTGCCACTGAGTAAGTGACGCGGGGCTGCGCCGGCCAGAGACAAAGGCAGGTGGGCAGGCAGGCGGTCAGTCCGGAGGGAGGAAGGGAAGCAAAGCCAGCATGCCTGAGCGGCCAGAGCCCACTGCCCCGCGCCACTGAGCCCACTCGACCGCGTGCCGCCAGAGAGCTGCTTCTCCTTCCCCTCCTCCTCCTTCACCGCTGCCCGCTTCCCTTCCCTTCTCGCCCTTGCCCCAAAAACATGCCTCCAAGTGGGGGGGGGTCGTCTAATACGCTCAGTTGCCTTGTACGGCGGCAAATACGGTATATAAAGCCTGACACCTTCATTTAAAAAAACATATTGGACACTGAGATTGTCAGGCTGGTGGGAGTATTTACATTCACAGACAGTCTTCTACTTCCAACATCTTCTGGGTTGCTGAAGCCAGCAGGAGATCATAGTGGCATTTCTCTTCCCTCCCCCTGCTCCTAGCTTGCATACTTTTAGTCCAAAATGTTACCATCCAATGAAAGCAAAAAGAGAAGGAGTGGTATACAGAAAGCTCTGCTGAGTAGAGGACAGGGGCTTTGGATTCACTGGAGACAAGGTCACCCGTAAGTGTGTTTGATGGAACATTTTTAAAAATACGAATAAAACACACATTTTTGGGGAAAATATTTTACAATATGATGCATAAATATATCATGCATAATCTTAGAAGAGGCATTCCCCCTGTGTGTGAGAGAAAACCTCTTGTTGAGGGATGGAACACACCAAAAGGGAAGCAGCACATGGCTGAAAAGAGAAATCCAACAGGTTCAACCATGGTATTAGTCCTAGTCAGTGGTATAAATCCTAACACTTTTTTAAGCAATTAGCTCTTCATTGGGAGACTGTCAGAAAAGGGATTAACTCCCATCTATTGCAAGCTCAGCTACCACTGTAAGAATCAGTAGGTCAGTGCTCATTTTGGAGCAAGTCATCTAAGAAATTGTAATAGATATGGACTATTTCTTTTTCTGTCAGTCCCTTGATGAAGAGCTAATTGCTCGAAAGACATTGGGATTTATATCACTTGGATTAATACATTTGTCTCCTGCATATGTTGGTTTTCTGTTTCTTTTTTCTAAAATTAGGTCCCTGTTTCTTCCCACGCTTTATCTTTTTATAGTCAGTTCTGCCTGCCTGCAACCTGAGGTTTGTGTATATACTATTACGGAAGATTTTTAATCTACGTCTACACAGTATTAACAGGCATATAATGTCTTTATATGCGTGTGTGTTTTCAACTCATTTTAACAGTGCTGTTAGAGTTACTGCAAATAGCCCATGTTCCCAAATCTAATATTTAAAAAAACTTTAAAGTCAGCTTTCTTTACCAATGATGCACAATATTCTTTTTTATTATCTATAATATATATATCTATATATTTAATTCCTCAACTTGTCCTCCCTAAAAAGAGGGATATACATAAATTTTGTACTATTTGAATTTATTTCCACATAACTAAATATAATTGAATATATATTCATTGTACCTATAATATAATTAGTTTTAATAATTAACAGACCAGCCATCTAAAACTCATATGGCCAATTCATGGTTTGATCACAAAGGAAACAGATTGAATTTTGGACTGCTTGTGGAGCAGTCTGGTGCCATCCAGTCCCCAGCAGTCACACAGCTTATGGGGAATTGTGCCCCGACCCAACCCTGAACCCTGCTACAGGGCTACTCCTTTTTCAGCTGGGCTGAGTGGTTTCCCCAGTGTTCAGAAGGGTCCCTTTAGGAGGAATCGCTACCTTAAAAGTGAACCTTTCTGATGCTGTCAAGTACATGCCTTTCCAGCCATCTGATTGTACCCTTAGTTTACTAATTTGTTGGTTGTCCTTATGGCAATTTAAAAAAGTACACTACTACGTATACTAGGATGCATAAGAAAGCATAGACTGGTTCAGTGTAAAAGAGACTGTAATTTTGAGGGTGGGGCAGACTGCGATTTGGAGGGGTAGTGGGCATATTTGGAATTTGATACTGTTACAAAATGGCAGCAATGGGGTGCAGTGTTGCTTACTCACAAAAT